GGGACTTAGTCTCTGCAGCTGAAATAATTTCCCATTTACTGAACCAAGTGGGAAATAGCAAGGCAGGCACAAAGGGTTTGCACCAGGTATGGGGACACAGGGGACACCGTCTTAAAGGGGCCGTGTCCCCAACAAGTCTGGGGACACGGCCTTAAAGGGGCAGTGTCCCAATCTTCCTGATGTCCCAAAAAAGGTGTTTTAAGGGCCAGCACCAGTCACATAAAGAGTCCATAAGCCCCAATATTCCCACCGACAGTCTTAAAGGGCCATACACACCAAATAAAAGTGCATACATTTTCACAATCTCCCAGGGGCCATAGTCATGCGGGAGGAGGCTGGCAAATAGGCTTCTCCACAACCCAGGGAAGCAGGGCAATTTGCCATTTAAAGGGCCCGTTACAAATAGCAGTTTGTAACAAGGTGTCAATCCATATCTGCCAAGTGACCCGATGTAGGGGGACCAGTCCCTATTCTGCTCTGTGTCAGTGTGTATCAGGGAACCTTAGGACAGGTGTCAATCCATATCTGCCAAGTGACCTGATGTAGGGGGAACAGTCCCTATTCTGCTCTGTGTCAGTGTGTATCAGGGATCCTTAGGACAGGTGTCAATCCATATCTGCCAAGTGACCCTATGTAGGGGGACCAGTCTCTATTCTGCTCTGTGTCCGTGTGCATCAGGGGCTCTGAGGACAGGTGTCAATCCATATGCCAAGGTGTCAATATGTCATATGTCAGGTGTCAATCCATATTCATTGTGATTTAGGAATGTTAGGTGATTTCTGCCCTTTATGGATTAAAACCAGACTCTGTATCAACTGTGTAATTTTCCATGGGAGTTTTGCCATGGATCCCCCTCCGGCATGCCACAGTCCAGGTGTTAGTCCCCTTGAAACAACTTTTCCATCCCTATTGTGGCCAGAAAGAGTCCCTGTGTGTTTTAAAATTCGCCTCCCCATTGAAGTGAATGGCGTTTCGGGCGGTTCGGCGGTTCGCGAACATTTGCGGAAGTTCGCGTTCGCGAACCGAAAATTTCGGGTTCGCGACATCACTAATTATATATAATTTTCTCCAGGAGAAACAGGGCTTTCATTTCACATCATACATACATACATACATACATACATACGTCCCAGGTCCCAGCACTCAATGCTCCCGGTCATTTAATGCTCCGGTGCTGTCTCCAACCAAATTGTATACAATACCAGTGGAGCCCATCGGTAAAATGGCTGGACAAGATATTTAAAACTCCAGTGTTATCTTTGCCTACCTGTGTCAAAGACAATGTAGCTGTTATTGAACATCTTAACAATATCCCAGTACCAGCAGCGGGGATTTTACTAGCAACGATTGATGTGTCTAGCTTATACACAATAATCCCACATAATGATGGTATACTAGCAATCAAGGAAGTTCTACAGAATCTTACTGAGTGGATGAATCCCCCTCTGGAGTATATACTGGAACTTTTGAAGCTATGCCTCACTTTGAACTATTTTAGATTTGAAACAAAATTCTATATACAACAGACAGGAACTTCAATGGTGGCTCCTATGGCCCCCATGTATGCAAATGCATACATGTTTGATTTTGAGCAACAACAGATCCTTGGGCCTTATGGAGAACATATATTACAATACCTCTGCTTTATAGATGACGTCCTTCTTCTATGGACTGGTGGAGAGGAAAGGTTTGTTAACATGATGCACACATTGAATTCACTTCCTACACCTGTGAGATTCACTTACCAGTCGAGTATGACTAATATCAATTTCCTGGATCTTCAAATTTTCATCCTAGGCAATCGCTTGGGCTATACTCTGTTTTCTAAATCAACGGATATGAACACTATTCTGCATTCTACAAGTTTCCATCCTAGAAAACTAAAAGAGTCACTGCCTATCTCTCAATTCATAAGAGTATTGCTCAATAACTCAGATGACAGCCGGGAGAAGATACAGATTCAGGACATGTTTCAAAAATTCCTACAAAGAGGATATTCAAAAACGGTTTTGAATGTAGCATACACAAAGGCAATAGAATCAATTGCAGAAAACAGGATTCATCAAGACATCGGTGATCGATTCATCTTCCCTCAGGCATTTCATCCAAAGTCCCAAAAGATACCATTCAAAAAAATTGGCACATTTTTTACAATGACTCATCACTGCCTCCTGTATTTAAAAAACATCCCATTATAAGTTACAGAAAAGGGAAAAATCTGAGAGACTATTTGATGCATGCAGATATAGTGTCCACAACACAGTCATTACAGAAAGTGACAAAAGCAGGATGTTTTCGCTGTTTGAACTGTCTGGCGTGCAATTCTATGATACCTGGTAAAACCTTCCGTCACCCAAAATCTGGAAAGGTGTACACAATTAAACACCGGATTACGTGCAGGACCACACATGTGTATAGAATTATATGCTCCTGTGGTCTCACTTATGTGGGCAAGACATCTAATGACCCAAGGGAACGCATGCGGGTTCACAGGTCTACTATACGGTCAGCACTACTGAGCGGCACTGCAAGCACTCCAGTCGCCCGGCATTTCCTTGAGATGGGACATAGCCTCTCCTCACTTTGCTTTATGGGACTAGATCACATACCCATCTCACCCAGAGGAGGAAATCATGATAACCTGTTACTCAGACGTGAGGCTTTCTGGATATACACGTTGGAAACATTATCACCATCTGGTTTAAATGAGAAGAACTCATATTGTTTTTTACCTAGAAGATAATATATGATTGAGCTATGTTTTACAGAATGCAATAAAGTACAGTTATTTGCCGCAACTCCATGATGGAAGTAGTCCATATCGCATATTGCTTCAAAATTACACTGACAATTTTGCTATATAACGGAGTTAATATTTAGCTAATGACGATATGTACTATGTATCTATGTTCCCTTGGTTAGGGTTGAAACATTTGTATATACTTTATTTTTATAGTTATTTATCTTTTATTACTCTCTGACTTATCTACACGAGAGTATGTTTCACATACCAAGTACACATAGGGTTAACTTTAATTTATTACGTAATTTAAACATGTTCATGTCATTAATGACATCACTCTGATCCGTTGTTACATTTTCCCTGTTCACCTCCAAATAGGATCACTGCATTTTTTGTATATAAGGGATCCATCTCACATACACAATTGTCTTGAAAAAAGTATTTTACAGACTGAAACGTCGACTGGAACGTTGTGCGAGTTTGTAATTGCTCAATAAAGCAACAAATGAAATTTACCTTGAAAAACTCCTGAGTGCTCTCTACTGGTATTGTGTGTATATATATTGTGACAAACTTACTTTCCTGTGTGTGTTTGTCCAGGATCCTTTGGCAACTGCACAGCCCTCTAAGGTAAGAAAACCAGGCCAAGACAAAGTCCAGTTTCAAAAAGGCCTCTGGCCTATTTATTTTCTGTTGTTGTGAAGTAACAGCATACAATGAACAGCAAATCTTTCTCCACAAAACACCTTCTTTCTCCTCCAAAACACTTCCCTCACTTCACCCTGCTTTAACTGCAGTTATATAGCTGCTCACAGCCCCTACAGGTGAGGCTAATGACCTCGTTAGGCAGTGAGCCAGAACTCTATGGGAAACCTAGGCTGGACTCATGCACAACCACTCTGACAGTGGGTGGAGAATCGGCCCACCCTGCTCTTCCGAATACTCCACCCCAGGGACCCAAATAACAACAGAGGAATAAACCTACATTTAAACTTAACTTTCCCTGGGGCTGAATGTGCTTACCCACATGTCAGGATAGTGGCTGTGCAAAAGTCTGGGTGCCAGATATACACCCCTGACCACTATACCCAACACTCTGTTACAATATATATAATAATTTATTATGAATAAAATCTAAAAAAGTGTACAGGTACCTTTTACTGCAATAGAATACACATATTTGTATTCAGTAATGTTTCACAAGTACAACAGTACCCCACATGAACAGGTTTTATGGTGTCTTGGAAAGCTACAGAGTTAAATATTGTGATTGTGAATTAAATTCTCTGGACTTTCTGCCTGGGTTGTCAGGCATGTCCCTCAAATTTTAATTAATACAATTACATAATTATGTTAAAATATTACATAAATATACATGCACAATTTTAATATATATATATATATATATATATATATTTAAATTCTATATGTATACTTATATATTATTTATGTAATTATATTAATTTATATATATATATATATATATATATATATATATATATATAAATTAGTATATATATATATATAGGGTTATATATATATATATATATATATATATATAGACGTATATAAGTATAGTGGCACTCACCCTTTCATGTTGTATACATATAATAAGTATGCCCTGGTGCAATCCCACGCTGAGTATAGACAATAAATGAAAGAGATGCCCTCTGCATTCTTTAGAAGAAATCACTGGTATTTAATATCCAACAAAGTAACATAACTGGAAGCCATCAGAAGTGTATTGCGGTCTGTCTCCTTACGATACAGGGTGAATTCCAATCTCCCAAGACGTTTGTAGATAGTAACGTCCAAAAACTGGATGGACTGTAAATCATATTGCATACTCAATTTTACTGATGTGGGAGCATGGTTGATTTCAACTATCATGCTGTTCAATTCCTCTGCGGTACCCGTCCATATAAGTAATATGTCGTCCACAAAGCGATGATAATGTTTGATCGAATCCCCAAATTTCCAGGATATACTTGTGCTCAAACACATACCTAAAGGCGTTGGTGTATGATGGCGCCATCACCGCTCCCATGGCTGTCCCAGAGAGTTGTAAGAAAAACTGCTTTTCAAATTTAAAATAGTTGCAGGTTAAAGCAATATGTAAAAATTCTAGAACTAATTCTATAGGCGGTCCAGTGTACACTGAGGATTCACTCAAGATCATTCTTAGAGCCTGCACACCGTCCTCGTGTGCTATGACTGTGTATAGGCTCTGGACGTCAAGGGTAACCATTATCGAAGCTTATTTAATCATGGGTGATAGATTGATTTTCTGGATAAAATCTCGAGTATCACGCAAACATGTGGGGAGTGCCACTATACTGTCCTTAATATAAAAGTCTACATATTTGACCACCGGTTCTAGTAGGCTTTCCTTAGCGGACACAATGGGTCTGCCCGGTGGAGTCTTAGGATCCTTGTGTATTTTGGGCAAGGTGTAGAGCACCGGATGTTTAGGGTGTGCCATTTTCTCATCCAGAAACCCATTGAGAATGCCCAGGTCAATCTGATTCTTAATTCTTGTTTGGAACTTTTTCACAGGATCAAATGTGAGTCTGGTATATGTAGTATGATCATCAAGTTGACGTAGTATTTCTCTGCGGTAGTCTTGGTACGATTGTATCACTGTGGTTCCACCCTTATCGACAGGGTGTATGACAATGCTGGAGTCTTGGCTGAAGTCTTGTAGAGCCTTTCTCTCACCCAGGGTTAAATTTTGATGGTACTTTGGGGGCTTCGTCACCATCATATCTGTGTCCGCCTTCACCGTCTGGATGAAGGTCTTAATAGAAGGGTTAGAGGTGCGTATATCCTTCTTATGTTTCTTAAAAATTGGCTGTGTCAGTTTTGGTGCATTATCCTTCCTAATTTCGTCCAATATAATACTCTCTGTGTTTTGTACATTTCAATTTCCAACTGGAAGGGGTCTGCTTTGGAAACAGGAACAAACCTGTCCTTTGTTAAGTAAAGAATAATGGTCAGTAGTTAACACTTTGTCAGATAGATTGAAAATAGCCATCATTTCCTTGGCTTGGGAGGCTTCCCAGTGGGATTTAAATTTTTTTCCAATTGCTCTGGCCTCTTCGTATTGGGCGGTTTTACTTGCGCCTCTGGTACCGATTCTGGATGTATCTGGTGGTTCTCCTAGTTGTGTATCCATCTCTAAAAAAGTCTCATGGGATGGAGTTCTACTTTCTCTTCTGGATTCAGGGTCTGAGGTGGAGTCACCTGAACTGGTGTCAACTGTTTGAAATATAGGTTTTTGTATTTTAGTTCTGAACCTAATGTTGGTTCTAGAAAATTCTTGTGATCCTCCCAGCCATCTGTACACCTGATGATATTTGTAGTCGTTATTTACTTTCTCTAATTTCTGCTTCTTAAAGCGAATGAGGTCATTTTTGTATTTATTCAATTCATCCTGTAATTTAAGCATTTGTACAGTGGCAGTGGATGCCTGTAATATGGAGGAGTTAGTGGTTTCCACTTTTTGAATTGACTGTTTAACAAAAATGAGTTCTCTGCCTACCTCCTCCACCACAATGACCATCCAGTCCAGTAAACATTTATTAGATATCAACATCCATTTTCTACAAAATTCTAGATTCTGGCGCCCTATAGTATGTGCATTTCTGACTCTGAACCCCCTGGGTATCCTCTTAGCTCTGTGATAATCAGAGATAAAGACCCCATGGAGGTCCAGGTCAATTTCCCTTTTCTTCAATTTAAGTAGATCATTGTATAAATCCTGTACAGTACTCGTGTGAATAAGGTCACCTGTAGTTTGTGGCTATAAAATGACGCTGGCTTGTTCTTCAGAGATAGATAAAGTTTCTGCAGATTCAAGCTTAGCTCCCGCTTTAGCCAAAAAGTCCTCCATGATAGCCACACAATTTCTCAGAGGAAGAGTAAATCCCTGTTAAGTGAATAATCCCTGTTCAATAATTATTTCACGAGGGGGTGCGCACAAAGATGCAGAATATAGACGTATATACGTATAGTGGCACTCACCCTTTCATGTTGTATACATATAATAAGTATGCCCTGTTGCAATCCCACGCTGAATATAGACAATAAATGAAAAAGAGATGCACTCTGCGGTCTTTAGAAGAAATCACTGGTATTTAATATCCAACAAAGTACATAAATCCGATCGACGTTTCGACCTCTTCAGGTCTTCCTCAAGATCAATTTATGAACATATATGGCAGAAATATATAGGGAATGAAGAAAGGTTACTCACCAATCAGGCAGTGTTCCCTCACTCCAGTGGTCTGAACCCGGGAATTAATATCAAAATACAGTTAGAATGAAAGTACATATATATATATATATTTTTTTAATTATTTTATTTTTGTATTTATTATTGTATTTATATATATATATACAGTGGGACCTCGGTTTACGAATTTAATGCGCTCTCCTGGACGTTTCTTATTGCGAAACATTTGTAAACCGAAATGCGGTTTCCCACAGGAATGCATTGAAAACCAAATAATCCGTTCTGGAGTTTAGAAAAAAGTCAAAATGAGCTGGCATGGAAACCAACCCACAATGCAGAACACACAATAAAAGGCATGCAAACGGCAAAGCTCAGCTCCCTACCTTTCCACAGCTTGAGAAATGTGCCAAAAAGTCCCAAAACAACTGAAAACAATTTCCAGAATGGCTCCAAAACTCAATGCAAAAGCCGCTCCAACACCTCCACACTCGATGCCACATGCTACCTACAGGCTCCAGCATGCAGGGGACGGTGCTCTAAACCTCCCAGGTGCAATGCATCCTGGGGAAACTTGCTTTGTATTGTGAAAAATATTTGTAAACCAAGGCATTATTTTCAATGGATTTTCATATGTAAACCGAAAATTATGTTAACCAAGGCGTTTGCAATCCAAGGTCAAACTTTATATATATCTTATATATATATATATATATATATATGCAACTTCATTCTAAGTGTATTTAATACTAATATATGCAATTATATTACTATTAAAATACACTAAGTATGATGTTACATATAAATATTATTAATATAATTATTTTATTGTGTAATAATGTTTTTTTTTTACTTTTTCCACCAGCATATATTTATATATATATAGTTAGTTAATACAATGCTAAACAAAAATCTGCCCACCAGTCAAGCCATAAGACTTGCTTTCTCACAGAAATCACAAATTTGCAGTGATGTTCCTACCGCAAAGGATTCTGGTGGACAATATGCAAATTAGTTTAACAAAGAATCACATCTTCTCTGAAACTGCTATGTTTACAGCAGAAAGAGTTAATCCTAGGTGGATCTGGCACCCAGACCACTTCATTAAGCTGAAGTGGTCTGGGTGCCTATAGTGGTCCTTTAATGGTTTCTCTGTATTATTTAATTTATACATTATCCCTAGTGCATATGATTTTGCCATAAGACTTGCTTTTCCCACAAAAATCACACATTTGCAGTGATGTTACTACTGCAAAGAATTCTGGATGGGCATATGCAAATTAGTTCAACAAAGAATCACATTTTTGCCTCATTTCATTTTAAATATGGATTCCTTTGAGTTTGTGTTTGCTGTGTACAACAGCTTTGAAACAGACTTCAGGTGGAAGGGGTTTTTCAGTCACAACTTTTTCCCCACCATAACCTTTTTGGTGTTTGCTTCCCTTTTATATATATATCATAGTCGCATAGCTGAAAAGAGACTTGCATCCATCAAGTTCAGCCTTCCTCACATATGTTTTTGCTGTTGATCCAAAAGAAGGCCAAAAAAAAAAACAGTATGAAGCGCTTCCAATTTTGCAACAAACTAGAAAAAAATATCTTCTTGACCAAAATGGCAGTCAGATGTCTCCTTGGATCAAGCAGCTATTACCCCACTAATTAGAAATTATATCCCAGTATATTATGTTTTTGGAAGTATTTATTCAATTGCTGTTTAATCAACTGTGTGGACTCTGATAAAACCACCATCTACCTCTTCAGGTAGATAATTTCATATCCTTATAGTTCTTAAGGTAAAAAAACCCTTTTCTTTGCCTTAGATTAAATCTCCTTTCTTCCAGCCTAAATGCGTGACTTTGTGTCCTATGTATAGCCCTGTTTATGAATAGATTTCCAGATAATGGTTTGTACTGGCCCCGAATATATTTGTATAATGTTATCATATCCCCTCTGAGGCGCTGTCTTTCCAAACTAAAGAGATTTACATTTTTTAACCTTTCTTCTTAACTAAAATGCTCCATTCCTTTTATCAATTTTGTACCTCATCTTGGAACGTTTTCTAGTGCCATGATATAATTCTTTCATCCTGAGAATTTATGCCCCTATTTATACATGAAACCTTACTGGCCTTAGTATCTGCAGATTGACATTGCATATTGCTGCCCAATTTGTTGTCTATAACAATTACCAAATTCTCGTGTGTGGTTTCCCCTAATTCACTGCCATTTAGGGTGTAGGTTGCTTGTGCATTCTTGACCTCGAAGTGCATAACTTTGCATTTCTCTACATTAAATTTAATCTGCTATTTTAGTGCCCAGTCCCCCAATCTATCTAAATTCCTCTGCAGAAAAGCAATATCCTGCTCACATTTTATTATTTTACAAAGTGTTTTGTCATCTGCAAACACTAAAATATGACTTTCAATGCCTATTTCAAGAAAATGTATAAATAGATTAAATAGAAGTTGTCCCAAAACAGAACCCTGAGGGACACCACTTTTGTACAGCTTGAAAATTGACCATTAATGACAACTCGTTGTACTCTATCCTTAAGCCAATGTTCTACCCAAGAACAATAATATTAATCTAGACCAATTTCTTTTAGTTTGAAGACTATCCTATTCTGAGGAACCGTATCAAATGCCTTGGCATCTATACTTCTAGTTACTTCATCATAGAATGCAATTAGGTTAGTTTGACATGACCTATGTTTCATAAAACCATGCTAATTATTGCTAGTATCAAAGTTCTTCCCAATAAATTCCTGAATATTATCCCTTAATAGCCCTTCAAATATTTTCCCAGTCACAGAAGTTAAGCTCACAGGTCTATAATTTCAAGGCAAGGATTTTGAACCCTTTTTAACTATAGGAACGACATCTGCCTTCCTCCAATTCTCCGGTACAATACCTGAAACAAAAGAATCTTGAAAGATTAAATATAGAGGTTCACTTATTTCCCCACTTAGCTCCTTAAATACTGGTGGGTGAATAGCGTCAGGCCCCAGAGCTTTATTTGCATTAATTTTCTTTAACTGTTGTAGCACCTTGTCTCGAGTCATCCAATCACAAGTTATCTGCAAGTTTTTTGCAGCAATCATTTGCATATCTCTTGCCAAAGGATCCTCATATTTGCAAATCTTTGTATTTATGTATATATAGATATATATAGAATGTCATTCTAAGTGTATTTTGTTACCAATAAATATATAAATATATATATATGCCTCCCATGTGATCTCTCTATGAGATTGATCACATGGCCCCCAGAGGGACCTGATTTGCTGTGGGAGGACAGGCTGTCAGGCAGTCCTCCCAAAGCGGAGTGCAGGTAAGAAAAGTATCCTGGGCGCTCCAGGGCACTAAGCCATTACAACGTTCTGTGCCGCCGCAACGGCTTTAAAGCCCATTAAATGTGAGATGGCATAGAACTCGGTAACGACATTAAGGGGTTAAATATTTTACTCTGGTGTTATTATTTCTCTTATCTCAACCCAGGTGCTAATAAAAACCTTTATGCTTTGGCAATATTATT